CGGCGCCCCGGCGCCCCGCCGGCGGGCCACGAAGCGGCTTCGCTCCCCGCCTTGAACCGAACGGCTCCTCGGGGACCGCTCTATCCCCCCTCACAAGCCGCCTCCACCGCCGGCTGAGGGGAACGGGCGACGCCTCGCCCCCTCCCGCGCGCCCTAACGGCCGCCGCTAACTGCCGCCCCCCGCCGCTCCCCCGGGAGGCGGGAGCTCCGCCCTCCGCCCGCCCGCCCCCGGCAAAGATGGCGTGGCGAGCGCTGCGGCGGGTCGGGCCGGTCCTGGCGCCGCGTTGCCCGCGCTTCTCGCCGCCGCCGCCACTACCACCGCGGGTGCCCGCGGCCCGGAGGTTGGCCACCAGCTCGCTGGTGCTGTCCGGTAAGTGGTCGGCGGCGGGAGAGAGAGGGTGGCCGGCGGGAGAGCGGCCCGGGTCTGTCAGGAGCCGTCGCTCCCCCTCCGTCAGGGCTTCCCCGGAGGGGAAGGTGGGCTGCCGCGGCCGGGGGGGACCTCGCCTCCCGGGCTGCACCCGCCCCGTCCCTGAGGCGGCCGGTGGGGGCTTGAAGGGACCTGCCTTGCCCCGAAACCCGCGTCGCGTCTCCGCCTGCCGGAGCCCGCTGTGTCGAAGCGCTTCGCCGTGAGGCGCGTCCCGTGTGGTAGGGGACGAGGGCGGCCGGGTGGAGCGGGATCGTGATGATGATGATGATGATGATGATGATGGTGGCGATACGGCGGCGTCCCCCGGGCTGCCCTGGTCTGGGACGGGTCACCACCGCCCGCTGGTGCAGGGGTGTCCGCACCGGGAACGGGGGGGGGGGGAAAGCCTCGCAAAATGGCTGAAGCCGTGCAAGGGCTCGTAGCCGCAGGGGGAGGTTAGTGCCTCCCCGCTTTTGGCAGCGGGGGGTTCGTTTCAACCTGTCCCTCGTCCTGGTGCTGACGCTCTCCCCGTTCCTCCTCCCGGGAGGAGCTGGTTCACCTCCCTGAGTTGGCAGAAAACTTTTAACCTCCTCTCCACGCCGCAGTTTTTTTAGCAAAGTGGCCCCGGCCCCAGCCGCAGGCTTCACTGAAGCTCGCCAAGCGTGGAGGGCACGAACTTGGCAAAAAAAAGCGGAGAGCTTTTACGGGGATCGTCGCGCCGAGACGGCTTGTTGAGAGCTGCAAGGAGCATCAGCAACAGTACAAGAAAGGGGCAAAAATGGGTGGATGGAGGAGGCAGGACTGCAGCAGTTAGGTTGGTGTGGGCTGCCAGGAAACCTGAGCCGGATTTTCGGGGGCCTTCGCCCTGTTGGGGCTAAAGAAGTTTGACTCTGTCCCTCTCACCAGCTCCTGTGTGGTGCAGCTGCAGAAGTGGTAAGGCAGGAGATGGACTTGCACATCGGTGCTTGGTGTGATTTTGCACTTAACGTGGTTAACTCTGAGAGTATCTGCTGCTGTTGAAGTTCTCTTTGAATGAAAGTTAGCAACAGAAGTCTGAAAACTAGAATCTGTGGTACTCTAGCAAACAGAATGTTAGGAGAGAAGAGGAGGAGAACATGCTATAAAAGTAACGACTGCCACTAAGAAGAGGTCATAAATTTCTTTCCAGATAGTCTTTTACCCTATCTGTTTAACTGCCTTCCGCTGCAAGTGAAAGACATAACATTTATTAGTCATTACTTGCAAATTAAGTGGGTCAAGATCTAAGCTTTTTTCCCTGTTCTAATTGTTTATTGTATCCATTATTTTTCTCTAGATATAACCTGAAGGAATACCATAAATTATGCTTTTGTTTTAGGCAGAGAGGAAAAATTTTGTATGCCTCTTTGTGGAGGTGTGAGGTTTTTCCTTCACTCTTCAGGTATATATTTATGAAATACTTAATTGAGGCAGGCTAAACTAAATGAAGATCTGAATTCAGAATGTGCTAGTTAAGCTGATACCAAAGTCAGGTTGAAATGAATGAAGCTAGAATAAATTTAGCTGCTCTTCTGAAAAAGAATGCTCACAGAAGAGATTTGGTATGCTTTGACATTCCATATTCGTTTAATTTGATTTATTTAATGGGCTGATCACATAAGCTCAAAGTTCGAATTTTGAGATTACTTATTAACTGTTTTTAATTTGACCTTTACGTTATTGACAATGTTTTTCATTGCATGGTTAGAATTTTTAATTTTTCACTTTTTTTTTGTTCTATAAGAAGCTTATGTGCTCTTCTGTTGAGAACATTTTACTGCCGTGTTCCAAACTGATCATGGAATTCTTCTCTTTTTTTTTTTAACCTTGCTTTATAAACAAATCTTATATAGTATTATTATCCTACATAAAAAGATATTGGTTGGCTTCTTTGTGACATGTGTAATGTCACAAATACTCAGCTTGGGTTTGAGTTTCTGTGTCATTCTCTGTTCTTATGGTTCATTACTCATTTCCAATGAAATTCCTATGGGTTTAATGTCTTGACCTAAAATGATTTCAGACATTTGATTTCCTCCATTCATTAGAACATGTCCTGAGAGATTTTTGTAGGTATAAATAATGCTAGCTGAAATTATCTAGGGTTTTTGAGTGATAATTCATGGGAAAATACTTCATATTTGTGTTTTACTCAAAATTTTTTGTGTACTGTACTTGCAAAAACATGTATTGCTCAACTGAGGTCTATAAAACTTAGGCCATCTTCAAAGACAAACCATTTTATCTGAGACTTGCTTCTCTTACACGTGTTCAGACATAAATAAGGGGATCACAACAAATGAAACAGCTTAAAATACGACTGACTTACAGTGGAAAGATTTTAGCAGGTCTACAGCAAAAACTTCCGTTCTCCTTCATGTACAAGTTTAGAAAATACACAAGGATTTGCAGAAGTGTAGTTTCTCTAGCGGGTATACGGAGTCCAGCCTAGAGGAAGAGCCTGAGAGAATTTTTAACTCAAAAGGAAGGTCCAGTGGTACTACTCTGGCACTAATCACACAGGGAGCTCTGTTTAAAAAGTCATCTTCTCCAGCTTCTGGAACATCCCTTGCCTGATTGAATAGGTGCTACAAGTGAAAATTAAAAATAAACTAGTTTTTAAAAAAAAGGGGGTGGGGGGCAGGTGGGAAAGAGAAAGTATCTATGGGGAAACTCTGGAAGTGAGAAAACAGACAAAGCAGGTAAAATGTTAGCAAGAAAAACGTTACCCATTTCAATTACTTCTTTTGAAGTTTTTCCATATGACTTTATAAGAAGAATTGCTTCTAATAAAAGCTAGTACAAGCTGCCCTGAATCTTACAGATCTAAAATATAGGTAGAATTACAAGATTGCTGTGAAAAGTCCTAACAGGGTCTTGAATAAACTATACAAAATAACTACTGTGTTTTTCTCACAGTAATATTATTAACAGAGAGCAAATTCTCTTAAGTAGCAGTTGCCTGTATGGGTTGCATTATTAATTTGCCCTGTATTCATTTGCCTTAATTTTACATAGATATGTATTTACCGTGACAATATTCAACAGGGAGAAATAGACTCTATAGGTAATGTTGGGGAGCGGGGGGCAGGCGAGCGAGCTGGGAATCAGCCACTTTGCTAGCTAGGTTGCAACTTTTTTACTTCAACTGATGGCTCTATTTAAGTACCTCGAACGAGATGCTGTAATGCTGACTAAAGCGCTTGTCAGAAACAAACACTAAATATGCTTGAAAAGCTACTGTGTTATCATAGAAATGCTTAACTATGAGTAAAGTACACATATATGTTTTAGATTCATACTTTTGTTTGAAGTAGAACTACTCCTTTTGCTCCTGTACTTTATCAGCCTCTAGATGATTGCACAGGAACTAGTAATACTCTCAGCAGAATACCTAGTGAGCTTCTACCCTGTCACTAAGCATGTCATTAGCAGAACAAAATGCTTCTGTAAATTGTATTTGCTGTTTAAAATACTTTCCAAGAAAAACGAACAAAGCTAACCTCAGTAAAAATCCCGCACAGTTTAAGCCTGTAAATGCGTTAGTGTATTTAAGTGAGCAGCATGTCACTTATTTCTGAAATATCAAGTTTGTTTCATTTTAGCCCGCAAATTCACAGACAAGCATGAATGGATATCCGTTGAAAATGGCATTGGAACAGTAGGAATCAGCAATTTTGCACAGGTATTGATCCCTCCCCCCTTACCCAGTCTGCAATATTTATTTACGCATACCTGCTCTTGCCCTTGCTCTTTGGACACTTACTGTTTTTTATTGTTCTAATTGCATGTGCCTAATACAATGAGCGTGATTTTTGGACTTGGATCTATCACATTATTTGTGAAGTGAATGCTGCTTCAGCGTTCTGATGAATTCTTAATCACTTCAGATTGAGCCTATGGAGAGCTGAACTTGATGAGAAACTTAATGGTTCAGCAGAATTTAAAACCTCCTGTATTACTTCAGTTCTTATAGGCCTGAGGAGTTTGTGGCTATGTGAAGAGGGTATCATGCACTTTAGGCCAAATCTCCCTTGAACACGAATATGGTGCAATCCCTCTGGCTAAAGAACAATTGTGAATATAAGTACAATATGGCATATGTTTCTTACTCTAGGATAGGAATTCCTTTGGATTTTTTTGCTTTGTTCTTGTGCAAGTACTTGATTTGGAATAGTCACAGGCAAATTCAGGATAGAGATTCACTGTATGTGAAACTTAAGAAAATCTAATGTGAGAAGCTATCAGTGAAGTGGAATTAATGTTTCTTAGGACAAGCAGCGTTTCCCATAACCTCAGTTTTCTGTAAATAACACTAATACTCTGTAAGATCCCTAGTCTTTTGTGAGATAGGGCACACTTGTCAGTGAAGAGACAGAACCCTGTTCTGGTTGAGGTGATTCTTATGGTGGTAAGGCTCTTTCTTAAGTCAGTAAGGACATACATATGTATGTACATAAGTGTGCTAACAGCTCTCCAGTTGTCCACATCTCTGGCTCTGCATTTTCTTTCAGATTGCACCAGAAGTAAATCCTCTGTGCTTTGTAACAAAAAGGCAATTCCCTCAGATCATTGGGAACTTTGTCCTTTAAAACAGTTGTTATTGTAGCTGATGCTAAGAAGATCAGCAGATGTTATTTCTCTTTCTGCCTGAAGAAATCTGTATATAAACCTTGTAACTCAGCCTGAGGGTTACTAACACTGTAATAGATAAATAATTTGGCATTTGGGGCATGATAGCAAAACATTTTTTTCAAGTTAATTGTTAGAAGAAAAAGTGAAAAATACGCAGTTCTTAAAAGAATGAGAACTAAATTTAGAGACAGAGATTACTTCTATCCTTCCAGTACCGAAAGGGGGCCTACAGGAAAGCCAGAGAGGGACTTTTTACAAGGGCATGTAGTGACAGGACAAGGGGTAATGGCTTTAAACTGAAAGAGGGTAGATGTAGATTAGATATAAGGAGGAAGTTCTTCACTGTGAGGGTGGTGAGGCACTGGCACAGGTTGCCCAGAGAGGTTGTGGCTGCCTCATCCCTGGAGGTGTTCAAGGCCAGGTTGGATGGGGCTTTGAGCAACCTGGTCTAGTGGAAAGTGTCCCTGCCCATGGCAGGGGGGTTGGAACTAGATGATCTTTAAGGTCCCTTTCAACCCAAACCATTCTGTGATTCTATGATACACAGTGATTTTAGAGTTACTGTATCAGATCTCTCCTATCTATAGTTTCTTTAATGTAAGCTTTGATGGTTTTGTTTTTCTTTTAAGGAAGCATTAGGAGATGTTGTTTACTGTAGTCTTCCAGAAATTGGGACAAAATTGAGTAAAGATGGTAAGTTTCAGCTCTAATTTCTAATGAAGTAATTACTCTACTCATTCCACTCTCCCTTTGCAAAGACTAATTTTATGTAGTAATCTTTATGTTCATTAACACCATTATAAATATTCTGGATGCAAAATAAGTTCAGGTATTTCTGTAAGAGACAGCTTTAATTTCAAATTTTCACTGTCAGACTGTGCATGGTAGCAGAAAGTACCTGCTTATTAAACTGTGAAGACATTTATTCAAAAATCAAATATTTGAAATGTATTTTTGTAATAATTTTATCTGTACTCTGTTTTTAAAATATTTATGCTTTGATTTGGACTTGCTAGTGTTTAGGCTGGCTTATTTGTAATTCTGCAGTTGTGCATTTCATGAGTTGCATGATGTGAAACATCTAATTGATATCAAGCTCTAATTTTGCTATGAATATAGGCACTCAGTAATTTTGGGGTATCAACTGTAATCATAGGTTTTTGCTCATTAGTGGCATACAAATTGTTACATTCTTAATGATTCAGTTATGTAATTTTCCATGTTAAAGAAGAGTGAGCATTAAGAGGTAAAAAGGAAAAGCCTATTCCTGTATTTACATGGAGAGTTGTCTCACTAGTATATGAAGAAAAGATTGTCATTAGCTTCAGACGTTGCAGAACAAGAATGTAGATTTACTGAGGTAAAGTAGCAGGCCTTTCTTTTGCCATCTTTCTTGTGGAATAGGTCCATATCGAACTGTTTTGGCCAAATCTGTTACATCGCATTGAATGGTGAATGTTAGACAAAAGGTCCTTCTGTTTAGGGTTTTAATTAACCAACTTGTAGTTTTGTTTTATCTGAAGGAATTTCATTTCCATTTAGTTCTTCTCTTTTCTACCCATTCTGGCCTTAGTCTAACTCCAGGCTTTCCCAGAACATGTTGTTCTCTGATTCCTTGTGCTGATGCCTATCTATTCTTCTGACAGTTCCATGTTCCTCCAGCCTCTGTCTTGTTTGCTTGTGACTTAGAGTTACTCTGGACTAACATTGCCCCAGGCACCATTTCCATAACTGCCTACAAAACAGAAAAAAGGGAAGAGTGGCTGGGTGATTCCAGTGTGGTGCTTCTGAATGCTAATGTGTGTGTTCCAGTGAGTGCAAATGTAACGCTTGATAGTGTTTCTGAATTAAAAATGGGATTCCTGAAATTGTGGCTGTGTCTATTTTGTAACCAAATTGTGTATAAAAAGGTTTAAGTTCTAGATAAAAGGCGTATTTGGGTCTCCTGCAGCAAGAACTGGATGTGGTTCCTTGTAACCCAGTATCATATTGTATGTTGTAGGGCTTTAGCCAAAGGATTAGCCGAATGTAAGAGATTCCTGTCCCTTCTATAGAAGCCAGCTAGCTAGTGTTACGCAAATTCCCCAGAATAATTCAGGAGCATAAACATCAAATTTAATACTGCTGATCATTGTCATAAAGTTGGTGACTTCAATCTCTTTGACAGTTTTCCTTGCTCAAGATCAAGGCACTTCTTCAATGGCTAGGTCATCACCAGAATGTCTGACTAAAAAAACTAACGCGCTTTGTATTTTCCTCTTAGAAGTGTTGAATTGTATTCTGTGTTTCAGATGAGTTTGGAGCTTTGGAAAGTGTGAAAGCTGCTAGTGAACTCTACTCTCCTCTCTCAGGAGAAGTGACTGACATTAATGCTGCCCTTGCAGATAATCCAGGGCTTGTCAATAAATCTTGTTACCAAGATGGTAAGATGTCATTTTTATCTTTCAATAATTAATACCACGTGGCTTCTTGCTATCACAAATGGCTCTGCAATTCCTAGTTCTTCCAGTTTAATGATGTAGAGGCTTAAATTGAATATATTGAATATAGTTCAAGCCCAATAAAATTTAACATGAAAGTATTATTGTAGTCTTGTCTTTGCTGACAGCTGGTTTACAATGTGCCCTTTTCAGACATAGACTGTGGTTGAATTTAAATCTATTTCCCTTGATCGCATTTCTTGGTTTTGGTCTTGTAGTAGCTCGTGATACTGAGAGGTCAGGCACTTTTATTTCAGCGTCTCCTTAATGCCACTGTCAGAGACAGTACTAAATTAGACAACTGGTCTGACTCAAAAGGCCATTTCTTATGACAGGTTGTTTGTTTGTTCATTTTTTAAAGTATTGAAACACTGTTTTGCCTGCACAGGAAATCCTGTTGATTCTACCAGTGTTACAGGGCTTGTATAGCTCCTGGGAGTACTTTTCTAAGGCAGTAACATGAATGAATCTTTCTTGTAGGATATTAGCAACTGTTTTTCTTTTTAATTTCCTAACTACAGGTTGGCTTATCAAGATGACTGTGGAAAACCCTGCTGAACTTGATGAACTGATGAATGAAGATGCCTATGAGAAATACATAAAATCCATTGAGGACTGAGCTGGAATAATGAAATAAATCCATATAAAATATTTCAGTGTAGTTTGTCATCAATCAGTGAAGTACAGAATATCCAGTTTTGGCAACCTGAAAAATACCACTTGTGATCATATATACAAGGCCATAAATAATTGCAGTGATAAAAATGTTTAACAAGGGTTCTTATTCTGTTGTCTGATTTATGTAACTTCAGAATGTTATCTATAGTATTTTGGGAAACAAAATTTATTTGCTAAAATATATACTTCCCAAGATTCATTTGACAATCAAATTTAGCAACAACAGCCTTAATATGGTAATTCTGTAGTAGGCACACAACTGTGTGTCCTAACCTGGACTACAACTTTCCCTGAAATCTTTTCCATTGCTCCCAAGATATTGAAAAGCAGTGTCTCCCTAACCTCCTGATATTTTTCCTAATTATAGTTGCAAAGATGATACCAAGAAAGAAGCCGTATCAGCTACCTCTTTGCATGATTTTTACTTCTTTACAGAATTTATTAATCTTTGTTTTCCTTCTTAATTTTACTATGTAATCAAGTAGTTCTGCCTTTGAGGCAGAAGGTATGGTCCTTGTCTTCTGATTTATATGCTTTCTTAATATGCAAAACTCATGCAATGTTAGTTTATCAAGGTTCTAGAGTAGATTGTTTAGGCTGTATTTTTTGTCTAGTAAACACTACCTATGTCACAAGTAATTAAGGAATTCTACATCTTGTGCCTAGCAATTGTGGTGATTTTGGAAGAGTAGGTACTTGTGAAAATTGTGTGATCAGTAACAGTTTGACATATAACATATCCATGTGTGTCTGTCTTTCAGATCAAGTAGGCACACTGCTGTAATGGCATCACAGGAATGAAACTAAAACTTACTTTGCAAACCAGTAAACTAAAGCAGCTGATTCCATTAGACTTAATATTTAATGAATCCACAAATGTGCACTCAAAGTTGACGTGACATATAAGGGTAAGGTTGAGTTGTACAGACCTGCACTTTAGGAAAACATAATAGTACAGCAGAGTTTTGGTCTAAAACTTTTTTCCACAATTTTAAAATAGGGATTAGAACCTAAGCACAAAACTGGAACGCAAACCAAGTATCTGTGAGTTGATCTAAGAGGAAGCAGGGGAATGTTTAATCCATATGGGATGACAAAGGCGAAATTCATATTCCTTTGGAAGTTCCTTTCAGAAGCACAGCCCTTCTAAAGGGCAGAAATACACTGCAGGTTATACAAAAACCTTTCTAATGTACAAAAATGTAGGACTTTCTTTTACAATCTGAAGGGATGTCAAAGTAATTGGTGTTTTTTTTGAAATCCTAGGAACTAATTTGTCCTACACAAGTCATAGATAAAAGCCCTGCCAAGAGAGACTCCACTGTGTATTTAAGATAAAACTATCTTCTCCATAGGAGTTAAACTGCAAAGTCTCTAAGAGGTAAGAGTGGGTTTGACTGTTCCACAGGACTCCGAACTTGGAAGTGGTTGATAAACAAAAGGCTCCAGTAAACCTAGCATAAATGCTTTAAAAACTGTCAGTACTTATCCATTATTCACAGTATCATGCAGTATTTATTGTGACAACATTCAGGGCCCAGAGAGCTGGGAGCTTGATCCTGGCCTCTTACAGATTCCCTGCATCTGTTTGGATCTCTGACCTCCGTGTGCATTTTCCAAAGGGAAAGAGAAACTTTGTCTCAAATTAGAATGAGCGCAGGCAAATGGTGATAGGAATGCATGCAAATGTTTCAATTTGTTACCGTTTCTTCCACCCTGTTTTTCCCAACTTTACTAGGGAGTAATAGGCCCTTCATTCATAGCCATGTAATATATGACCCTTTTGGATCTCCCTTTAAAGCTTAGTCCAGAGCATTGTAATGCATTTTTATACAATTTTTCCCTTAAAATGTTTGTATTCTTTCCTTTTGATCAATGAAATAAATAGTAATTTCTGTAATCCCCTAAGGAACCTGGGGAGTAGTAAAAACAGGCAAATCCAATCTTTTCCTCAAGCTTTGCCCTCATCTGTGTATTAGCAGTGGTTTTAAGGTTACACATGAATATGGATGACAACTTTCTGAAGAAACCATCTGAAACAGAATCCAACCTTCCTTTCATGGTGTACAGCTGGAGAATGGACATTCTTTTGCTTAAAGAGGAGGACTGGGAACCTCTCTATCCCTAGTTCTTTTAGGGTTTGATATGACCTTAAAGTGATTTAATAAATTTCCCAATTCCTCTTACAATGGGAACCATAATACTTAGGTGCTTTTTGTGTGTGGTTTATGCCAAGAGCTCTGGTGTTCTGCAGTTATTTAGGCCAAAGGACGTCTATTTCAGCAAATAAATATTTTTATATCTTTCTACAATCCACTCAACTATCTGAATTGTGCTGCCAAAAGAATGTATTCTTCCTTTTTTGATGTATGCTACCCAAGCAGAGCTCCCAGCTTTCAAATAATCCCATAACTTCACTACATTCAGCAGCAGCAGGAAGCCTCAGGCAGACCACCATGCACTGGCTGGAGCCAGACTCTGCAAGAGCATGAATGCAAAACTTGCCAACATGAATCCGTAATGAATGCCTTTCATCAAAATAAAAAGATGGAGTGAATGTGTTATTAGCTTTGGTCTATGACACAATGCTTTTGTATAAATCGTAGGGGAAGACATCGAACTTGTTCACCAGTGTGTGCTCCTACAGAAAATGAATAAAGGAGATGATTTTTTACAAAATAACCACTTCATCTGTGACCTCTTTAAGTCTGGATCCTGAGCTTAAGAATTTAACACTCATAATTACTGGCTACTAAACATCATAGACTCAGTAGAGAGATTGGTTTTATGGTAAATTTTGACTTCCATACTTCTCCCACAACCAATAATTCTGTCTCTGTATCTCCTAGGGGTTAATTACATCATCACCTTTCTTCTTGCCAACACTTCCTTTCTGTTCCACAAGTATCAACCAACCCCTTTATCTTTCAAATTACGTAACTGAATAATATAAGCTAAACTTGGAACTAATTTTTTCAATTGTATTTAGTTTTCTAAGATTTTTATCCATATCAGTCCTGAAAAGACTGCATACCTAACATTTTGTGGTTTTCAGCCAATAAAGTGCTGCCTCTCCCTGTGAATCTTGACCCATCATGTATGTGAATACAAATCATGTAATTGTTACTTCTCACCAGAGGGAAAAAAATCAATGGTCTAAAGCTAAAAGAACAAAAATACATAAATAATAACTCTTGGTGGTGTTTTGATGAGCATAAAATAAGGGCAGTATCAATTTCGCTGTCATTAAATTAGCAGTAAGACAATTAGCTAAGCAGCTCTGATGATTAGGTTAGAAGTGCAGCTGATCTCAGTTTCTTATGCTCCCCTTAACTGGTGTCTCCAGACAGTTGATGTCCTGTGGAAAAGGATGCTCTTTTTCTTCATACTGATAGATGGGGAATTTACAATCTTCCTGTAGTAATGGCTCCCATCACAGAGTTCTAATATGCCAAACTGACATGTAAAGGACATAAGATTTATCTTCACGTCAGCCTAGTCATGTGAATAAACAGAACTGCACCAATAAATCAATCAAGAGTAATCCTCGGCTCCTCAACTGAGCGTGTGAGGCTCTTCTGTTGCGATGCTGGGAGACATCACACAGCAAGAGACAAGGGAGTTTGCACCACCTGCACTGCGTATTTTGGAGAAGAGAAAGCAAACCGAAGAATAGTGCACAATTAATTAATAACACGAGTTCACCAGTGGGTGGGATGCCCCAGGTTGTCAAACGGTGCCACGCGCCGATTTAAATAATTGCAAGTTTAAAAAGAAATTATTGCATAATTTCACCACGCGGTGGCACTCAAAACGTTGCCGAGGGGGCGAAGTAGGGCAGCGCGGTCAGCCTGGTTGTCTAGTTCCCCTGCTTAGTCTCTAAAAGGTCCTACTGCAGTGTCAGGCAAGTTCCTAGGTCAGCCTCAAGATCAGAAAAAATATTAAGCACATCCTGCTTCATTGAAAACGTTTACAAAACACTCTTCACAGCACTATGTGTAACAAAGGAATTAACTTAAACCTCGTTTTATTGTACCCATCATCTTATCAGCTTTCTTCTCCCCCAGTCTCCTCTTTCCCCCTTCTTGCAGCTAAAATTGGGGCTGGTGGGGAAGGGGTGTGCATGGACAGTCTAACATTTTACCAAGTTCCAAACATGATGGCAGCCATTAAGTCAACAGGAGCCTTTCAATAACAGAGCAGAGATTGACTGGGATCTTTGGGAAAAAACATTCTTCCACCAAAGTCACAGGTGAAACTGCTTTTACGTTAATGAAGCCGCATCAGTCTTAGAGAGACTGCAAAAGTCATCTACATAACACAGCGCCATTTCTACAGACAAACATGTTTTAACGTGGTGAAACGTGACTGGACTGATGGAAAATTGAACATCCTTTGGCAAGGCATTTCCAGGGAATATGACCTCACAGATGTAAGACAATATTAAAAGACTTGAGCAACGTGCATCAGTGTAAATTACCAGCAAGATATGCTGCAGATGGCCCAGACAATTTCTGAGAGCAGCTTAGGAGTGTCCTCAATGTTATTTTCCCCACATTACTTGAGACACAGTCTTACAGGAACAGTGCTTGGCAGGAAAATTTAGTCTGGGGTATCTGGATTGATTAGAGTTTGCCTCAAAATATTGACATCCCTCTCTTCCTGACAAAGCATAATTCAGTCACTTCAGACCTGATCTATTTTAATGTGGTACAAGTGTCCTACAGCCTCTGCTATTAGGCTGTTTTATTTGTCATTTGTTTATAGTGTTTAATTATTTACGCTCTTGAATCTATTTTGCTTAGCGATGTATTTTAATGGAGGTACAGCACTTGTACCCTTCTCTAACCACGAAAATCAATCTACAAGATATAAGGATGAGTCTGCACTTCTTGGGACTCGAGTACTTCTGTTCGTCAGCCATCACCCCTCTCCCTTCTTCACTGCATGGGACTGGATCAAGAGAAAAATGA